AATCGTTTATTATTATTCATTCCTGAGATTTGTCTTTTTAAATACAGAAGTTACGCCATCGTTACAGCACCTGGGTCTGAAAAGTAGGACAATAATAGAAAATAACAAAGTCAAAAATTCCTAAAGTGACAATGAGCGAACACACATGCTTTCTGACTGATAGAAGTGAACGACATCTTTATACATTCTTTAAAACGAAGAGGACACCTGACGCAGTAAATCACGCGAAACGTGTCATCTATTGTCCACAGTTGACACATGACCTGAGTGGCGATGTTCTCGGTGTTGTGTTGTAAGAGGCATGCAACACACTTCGGACACGGGTCAGCTTTTGTGGTTTATGCTGGAGACCTTTCTCTGTTCTTGATGAACAGTGGGCTGGATGTGGGCGTGCTGACGAATTCCATGAACTTCGGTCGACTTTACTAAAGTCGAAACTTTCTACCAAGAAGAAAGAAATAACCTGTGCTCCGCATGAAAATGACATACTATAAGTTATATAAGAAACAAGTTAAAAACCTGTATAGCTAGACTATAAATCGACAAACTAAGCAATCAAAATTCGTATGTATAAACTGTTCAGTACATCAAACGGTAAATAAAAACTGTAATAAATATTATAAACTGAATTTAAATAAGTTTAGAGAACTTTTTATATAAAATTTATAGTTTTTTGTTGTTTTTTAGATTTTACAGACAGTAGTTTTCGAAAAGATATAACTTTTTTCTCCGCTTATTCTAACAACTAAAACATATTTATATCGTCTACTTATTAAGTTTAATGTTGACTTTATAATAATAGAAAAATATATGAATTATGATTATTTTATGTTATTTGGCCTATATTATAACAATAGTTTGATCAATTTCTTTATTGAAAGAGGTGATTATGCAGTAACATAGGAAGTTCTACATTTTTAGTTATTTAATTAACAGAATTCAATTTAATTCCTGGAAAATATACAGAGATTTCACTTTAAAATATATTAGCTCGAAACCTATTTGAATATCATTTTCCTACAAATTTTTATTTAACTTAATCTATCGTAATGTTTAATTTTATAAAGCGAATGGGATTTAGTCTGTAATTAAAGCAGGATGCATTATAAAACCAATTGAGAAAGTATACATTAAAAGATGAAAATAGGCAGATGTAGTACACAGCTGGCTGTTGATTTATTAGCTTCGCTTATAAGACAACTGCGCGTTCGCCTTTAATTGTTCTTTTGTCACATTTCAAAGGAGTTGTTCCCTTCATCCTTCTTGTCTCTCCTCGTTAGCTTCATCATTGAAGCAGCCGAAGATCGCTTCTCCACCATGGGAGGCCACACCACGTCCACGTGGCAATACACACTTGGCTATTGTTGGTCTTTCTTTATAAATGTCTCTTTTTGGAAATACAAAATAGATAAACGTTGTTAATGAGATTAAACAAAATCCATGTAAATCATACCTGACGTAAGCTTATTATTATATTAAGAATTTGGCTGCGTTTATTAGTAAAAATAATTCAAAAGAAAGCGTCAAAAATGTTCAAATTAAAATAAATAGTTTTCTAGTCTTTATTGTTCTTTTTCTTAATGATTTAAAGTCAACGAGACCTATTCCAATAGAATTTGACTATTCACTTCAAAGACTTTTACAGCTAATTCATTTTTTTTTGAAAACAACTCGTAAAACTTTTCTTCATTTTTCTATAAAATGTCATACATTTAAAAAGACTATTGTTAGTCAAGTGAGCTTTGTCAGTTGTCACATATTTCTTTTAACCCTTCTCTTTAGCCTTTTGACCTGGTGGGCCATAATTTACTATTGACTGTCACACCTGTCGTTTCATTGTTATCCGAATTCTTATGAGCGCGGTCTGTACTATATTTCTGAACAGTTGATAACGACAGTTCGCACAATGATAAACTCAATAAAATATCTAAAACAGCAAAGAACTTAATAAATGAATAGGCCCAGTAGAATACCAAACGTTATGGAATATATAAGCTTAATGTATCAAAAAATAATTCTGATACGTTTGAGTTTACATTTAATAAATATAGGCTGTTAGATATTTATTAGATAGAAATTTTAGATATTAAATAATAGGATAAATTAAAAATATTAATTAGCAGTTCATCAGATCATAAAGTCATTTATAAATACCGTATAAACGATTATATTCTAACAATATCAATGATTATCAAATTTCAGTAACTGTTCAGAAGACATTTTGATAATTTCTAATTAGATCCATTTGCTTAAACAATGTATAAAAGTTTCAACAAATAAAAACATTATTTAAAATTAAAAATTGCAAAACAAAACTAGCCATAATACATGCTAAATATCACAAACACACTAAGAACGGTGACGGCGTTGATGTTTCATTAGACCCTACTCAGCTCTAAAACTGTCAGTGTTAAAAACATCCCAAGCCCCTGGTGACCTTTCATTAGAGTAGCCTCTAATGAAAGGTCGACGCCGTTACAGTTCTTGAAGTATTCCTGGTATTTAGCATGTATTGTGGCTAATTTTGTTTTGAAATTTGTCATTTTAAATCAATTATATTCGCTTAATTGATTTATTTGATACAATACTGAAATTTAGATATGTAACATTTTAAATTCTGTCTTTATTCAGGCAATTGAAAGAAATACCTTTCTAGATCTTAACTTTCGAGATAAATTTTATAGATGAAGATTTAAACAAATTCGTTTATTTTCACAGTTTATAAAATTGTTTTCCTAGATCTTTTCAGTATCTTAATGCTTATTTCTTCATAATGATTATGTATCCTATATAGGCTGGATCATAAATGATATAAAAATAAATACAATTGGAATTTTTTTACAGTCAAACTAAACTGCTTTAAAAAGATTTAAAGTATATGATAGTAAAGTATATTTTTTCTCCCATGTACTCGATTATTATTATTTTCAATAGATGTATTATTGTTTAAATAAATAAAATTGCAGAAAATACTGTAAATAAATTTTCTCGAACGCCTAAGAATTCTTAATCCACCCGTTAAATCTAAGGTTTATGATTCAATAGAAATTTCTTATACGGAAAAAATATTTCTATGATGCTTTATTTTTCAATTTTTAGATTACTTATAACACGCTTAAAACAAATATTAATATATATATGAATATTATAATGAATATATGAATATCATATAATATGAATATATATGAATATATATGAATATT